GGCACAGCAGCCACCACCGAAGCCTGGCTGAAGGCCACTGCTGGGTAAGACTCCTGCAGACACACCAAATCCTGCAGTGAGGTACCCATGGCAGGGCCTTCGCCCACAGGTCTATGAGAGAGCTGAACATGACCCTGCTGCTCCAGGCCTGGGTGTGACAAACTCACCCAGCCTGGACACGCAGCAAAGCCCCAAGCTGCGCACTCTGCTCGCTCCTTCCGCAGCGGCGTGTGTCTATCAATCAGGAGCTCACGCACGGCAATAAGGCAGGATCGCTGGGGAGATAAGAAGTGGAGAAAAAACGAGGCACATTTCCGAAGAAAGGCAAGGGAAAGCGTCGCGCCAAGGGCAGATGAACGCCTGCAGCAAGGGGAACTCGGGACTGAGCATACCCCCACCTGGAGCAGCGCGTACGTTCCCTGTTACCTCAAACACAGCTGTGCTGAGGAGGGATACCTTACACTGTTTGGCACCTGGCCGGGTGCTGATCAGGGAAAGGCTCTCACTGGAAAAGAAGCAGATGTTAATATGTTTATCTGACCTGGGGACAAAAAAAAAAAAAAAAAAAAACATTGTCTTTCTTGTCCTTGAAATAGAGAAGTGGAGTGGGCAAAAAAAAAAGCATGCAGAGGTATTATTCACAATTTCCACAGAGATATTATTCACTATTTCCAAGGCCTGTGGGTGAGCACAGCCAGTTGCAGAGCCACCCAAGGTGGGTTTTTCCCCCTGCGTTGCAAGGGTTTTAGGTCCCAGTGGTAGCGCTCACCTGCCCGGATCAGAGTGGCAGCCTGATGCTTGTCACTGCTCTCAAAAGCCTGGGTCTGAGCCCAGCCTGCCTGTGTTAAGGGTCTTGGAAAAACCCGCTCACAGCCTGGCTAATAAGGGCAGTTAGATGAAGGCAGCTGAACAGAAACTCAGCTTCAAGGGGCTTTCCAGACTCTCCATGCCATAGGTAGGAAGCTGCCTTCCCCAGGAGCCACTTCAGGCCATACCGAACAGATCAGCTTAGAAAAAGGAAATCTCGTGAGGTTTTTGATCCCTTTTTTATTGCTTGGTTGCTTGGTACTGATTTACAGATGCAACTTCATTTCAAGCTTGTCATGCAAAAATCCAGCATCTCCCAGTTAGGAGGGGAGAAGAGAGTTCGGTCATTTATCATCAAAATCTACATTTTTATCTTGACTTTTTATTACTGATATAAGAGTATAGCATATAAAAGTATAGTAATGTAAACACAGTGCAAAGTTTATATGATAAGCATAAGGGAGTGTTTGACCTGCTTAGCAGAAAAAAAAATGACCATTTTTTACCTCAATAAAAAAAAAATAGATCCATGGCTGCTTTATGCAGAAAAAGGTGGCTCCAGCACTAAGCTGCTCAAAGCATTTTCCAAAGGAGATTTTTTGAAAAATCCCAGCATAGCCAGGGAGGGTAACACACAACCGTAGCCACGCCAAAGCAGTGTTTGCAGGGAGAGCATACTGAGGCATTGCTTTGCAGATGCACAGCCATATTTCAAGACATCAGTAATGAATCAGTCACTAATTCCCATCAGCTATTTCCTTCCCACGTAGCAGCTTTGTCCTGGCTATTTTCGGTTTGTGCTTGCTGGGAGGGCTTCATGTGGCCGCGTTTCCCAGATGGCGGCAACACCAGCTTCCTGGCCGACGCACGCAGAGCACAGGATGCGGCTGGGCGCCGGGAAGGACGGCATCTCCCAGGTGCCCAGCAAACTGCAACCTTTGCCTGAAGGTTATTCATTCTGCCCTGTAAAAAATGACATGGGTTTCCCCCTTGACAAAGAGAGTATCTGTGGCGCCGCAGAGAGCTGGCTGGGGCTCAGCACCGCCACAAGCCTGCAGAGCCACTTGGACCTGAGATCGCATGGAAGCTGCCACAGGCAAAAGCTGAGTGAGGACAAGTGATCTGGGAGACCCCTCGCTCCAGAACCACGGCCCAGCACCCTCCGAGGAGCAGCTCGTACACCCCATGCACACAGGCCCCTGTGTCTGGATGTCTCCACCATGCTGATCTCCCCAGCCATGCTCTGCTCCCTGCTTGCACATGTGCACAAAGCCTTCAGAGACAGGGTCACATCCCCCCATTCAGGGCTCAAAAAAATAAAACTAAATTTAAAAAACAAAATCAAACGTTGTGGCGTGGAGCTGCGGGATTGCACATGATTACCATGTCTCACACTAGCCCCAGTGATCTGATGGTTTTTGCGGCACTCTTGGTGCACCCTCCCGCCGCAGCCCCTCACTGCAGGTGTTTCCGAGGGGCACAGTGCAGCGCGTCCCGCTCCGGCACCGGCGGCCGACCACCCGCAGGCTTTCGTGCTGGAGACGCTGAAGCGCGGGGCACCGGGCAGCTGCCTGGCCACCGTGACCTCCTTGGCGTGGGGAAGGCAGGCACCAGCTATGGGTGATTCACCCTCATTGGGCCAGGTTCAGGAGCTGTTCCTCAAACCTAGTGCAGAAGTGATTTTAAAATGGAGAACTTCAAGGGGATTCCCAGCCCTCCTCGGAGGACTGTCCTTCTTCAAGGCAAGGGGACCTGCGTGACAAAGTCACTTGCGGAGCACTGGAGAGTTAGTGCCAAGGGAACCGTCTGGTGCGACCAACCCATCTACGGGTCCCTATGGGGCCTCGCTAAGAGCAGCAATAGCCCATTCCCTGGAAAGGAAGAGCCCTCTAGAGGCCCGAGCCCGACACAGCTCCTATCTCCAGCACGTGGCCCTGCACTGGTCTTTTGACCTCTGTTTTCCCCATAGCTGAAGGGAGGGACAGTGTGTGCTCCCTGTGCCCATGTGAGACCCCTTAGCAAGCTGCTCAGCCCTCCAGAAGCGATAACCAGCTTGTGAGCTGGCAAGCAGCCGATGCCCAGCACCGGCACACACGTGTGCTTAAACCTGCACGGGAAGACTTGGAGCCAACCGACTAACAAATATTCCCAAGAGGCTTCTCCTGGCGACTCCTGTGGTCTGACAAACCCTCCGAACAGGTTTTCTGTGCTGCACGACGGGTTCACCCAGCACTTACAAACCAGAGTCACCAGCATAAAAACTAGAAACCAGGAAAGGGAATCCTCCTGTCTTAACGCAGAAGGCGAATGAGCCTGCGAGGGGCCCAGGGTGCCCCAGGGACCTGCAGGGCATCTCATCACCCTGCTGCCATCACGGGCATGGCTGAAGATTGCAGCTATGCCAGGTACCCACAGAAATGCCATCCATCCTAACTGGCGTTTCCTCACACAGACTATCCCAGCAAAACACTTCTACCTTCTTTGATTTGCTCATTTGTGAGCACAAAGAGCAAAACGGCTCCGGTGGGTACATGCACTGAATAATTCAAGCATTTCTGATTATTAGGCTTCTTTTCCAAGCTCAGCAATTGCTTGTACGCATGAACAAAAGGTAGAACTTCAGTCATCCAGTACCAATTTTATAATGAAATCTTCATTACTCAAAATTGAAGCAGCCTCTAGAATTCATTATTTGCATCACAAAGCTTCCCATTCCCCCAAAATCAAAAAAAAAAAAAAAAAAAGTTGATGAGTATAGCCCAATACTGGAGTATTTATGCCCAGCCAGATAACACAATAGATAGCATAACAAAAATGAAAAAAAAGAGGTAGGATTATCTTAAGCCGATATCCCCTCCTGATTTAAAGGTCATTACTTGCAAAACAGCACATTTTTCTTAAAACTGAGGTTTCTGACACGGATAGCTTAAGGGAAGGTTTTTTACCTCCAACTCTTTGCACCCTGCCAGAAACAAGCAGCAGGTTGCAAGGGCCAGGGGAGGCATCCGGACTCCCACATCCATCTCTCAGGCTGCGCTAAGGCTACATCACTCAGTTTCCCACACAGGGACCCACTGCTGCACCTGTAAGACCTTCGAGCAGCTCCATGGAAGCCCCAAGTAAAAAAGCAATTAAACATCTCAAGTATTTAATTGGTTTGACCTTTTTGCTATTGACCTCGGGAAGAACAGGATTTCAATAGATGTGGAACTGTCTATAAGAACAGGTAAAGAACATGAGTGTACTGGGGGCTGCAGCAGAGGTGTCCTGTCCTCTCCGCACCCTGGCAGCCACAGCCACCACCAGACACCAGAAATGTGCAGGGCTAACATTTCACCCACACCAAGGGCTCGGGGGATACCAAGGCACCTCTTGGGTGCCGAGGTGGCCCAGCCTGCCCCCTCCACTTCATTAACAAGGGGAGGGAGCTGCCCCGTAGATCCCCTGAGAGGCTTTACCGTAGACTTACAACCCAGAAAGGTATAAGAAAAAGCCCAAAAGTGCCTGCCTTGCAGCTTGTAAGCAACATGGCTCCCCTTCAGAAGGCTGATCAGCATCAATAATCAAAATAGCAGGGGAAAAGAGTTCATTTGCAAATGGAGATAACACTTTTGAGTGTTTGCAGTTGCTAATGAAGAACATTCTTCAGCATAGTGCTTCCTTTTACAAAAAGAAAGTTTCTTTTACCAAAAACCCAGAAGAGAAATAAGTTGCAGGACTTGTGCCTCTGCTTTAGCTGTTTTACAGACTCTTGTGAGCTTCATCACCAAACTGTCCAACTCAAGAGATGTTTTACTGCATTAAATTGCATGCTGGTGGAAAGCTGCATCCCTCTTTTTCGCTCTGCCTCCTATTTCACCCTCAAGTAACTCCACTGCCTTTAGTGGGGAAATTTTGTCTTACATGAACATAAAGATGAATTTCTCTCGCCTTCCGTGTTTTATGCCTACTCTGTCTGGGAAAAACATCAGTGTACAGTCATTTGACTATATTTAAAGCAAGGAAGTTCCTCTCTCACTCTGAAACTGCCATTTCTGCTGGTGCCAAGCCTGGGAGTTTTGGCAAGCGCTCCTTTCTTACAGCCTGCTTTCTAACAGTTGCTGCTCCAGTTTGCCTCAGCCTTGCTTTCCTCTTCTACTTTGATTAAGAGAAGGTATCAGAAGATCACCCCTATTAGGAATACACCTAACACAATGGCTGTTTTTTTATACCTGCTGGTTCTCACAGCACTGGTCTGCGCTGGCCGGGAAGACAGCGCGGCAGACACGATGTGCACCGAGGTGAGTGATGGGCACTGCTCTCTGCTGAGATAAAGGAATCTTTTATGGAGATGATCAGTCTTGGAGGCCTACTTGTGTGCTGACATCTGATTGTTTTAAATTGCTGAGAGGTTTTCTCAGGGGGATCTGAAAGCCTTTATCAGAGAAATAAAGCGGATGTCTTGAAATGTGCTGGGTTAAATCAGTCACTCGCGCAGGCGCTCACTTTCCCTTGCTCATTCTCACACATGTCCATGCACCATCGCTATCTCTTTTTCATTTGCCCTTTTACTCTCCAGAAAGCTTGAAAGATGACAAAATCTCAGAGGGATATTTATAGCAAGTATCAGAGCTAGACAGAGAACAGATATGAGGATTTTGTCTCTTATGCTATGCTCTATACAGGAATTTGTAGAGGATGCAATGATGGTGTCTCTTGCTCATAAATGGGTATTTGCAGTTTAGGACTTGCTGTATCAGATGAAAACAGTGAGAACAAGAAAAACAGCTTTTCCAC